TGGAGCTGGACGTGCTGCTGGCGCTGGTGCTACCACTGGGGGTACTGGTGCTGTCCGTGCTGTGTCTGGAGTCCCTGCGCGGCCTCGACCGTACTTCGTTCCGCTCCTTTAGCAGGTTCTTGGTCTCCCGCCTTCTACTGTTCCTCCTCCTCCCTTAGAGTGTCCACAGCCTGTCCCGTCACAGTTACAGTTACAGCCGGCCTCCCCACTGCCTGCTCCTTCTCCCTACACTGGTCCTACTGGAGGTCTTGCTGAGCGTCGTGAGCCTGCGTCTCGCCCTGCGTCGCCTGTCCGTGCTGCTCGCACTAGTGGTCGTGGCTCGCGTCAGCGTCCTCCTCCTGTCCCTGGCACTCACCGGATGTCTCTGCGTCCGTCCACTGCTCCTCTGCGTGCCCCTTTGCCTTCTCCTCCTGAGTCCTCTCTTCCTGCTCTTCCCGACCCGGAGTCGGACTCTCTTCGTGCTGCCAGTCCTACTGTCATGCGTCTCCTTGCTACTGTTGTCACTGACCCTTCCTTTGAGTCCACTGCTGCGTCTGCCCTAGTTACTGAGCTCGTCGACTTTGCTGCTTGCTGTCGTCTAGACTACGCTGCTAGTCTTGTTGCTGAGTCTGAGTCTGTCTGTCCTCCGTCCGTCGGGGGTGAGTGTGCCCTTGGCACGGACGTCCTTGAGGACAGGCAGGAGGAGTTCCAGATTTTGGCTGCTGCTTCACCTCATCTCGTGTCCGTCCTGCTTACCCCTGAGGGAGACCCGGATGCACTTGACATCCCGACTCCGCGCTCTTACGCGGAGGCGATAGAGGGTCCCTACTCCTCTCAGTGGCAGGCAGCTATGGATGCAGAGATGGCTTCCTGGAAGTCCACAGGCACCTACGTTGACGAGGTTCCCCCGCCTGGGGCGAACATCGTCAGTGGCATGTGGATTTTCAGGGTGAAGCGGCCGCCGGGTTCTCCGCCTGTCTTCAAGGCGCGTTACGTGGCTCGTGGCTTCAGACAGCGGCAGGGAGTTGACTACTTTCAGACCTTCTCTCCCACCTCGAAGATGACCACTCTTCGGGTACTGCTGCACATAGCTGCTCACCGTGACTACGAGCTGCACTCTCTTGACTTCAGCACTGCTTTCTTGCAGGGCAGCCTGCACGAGGAGATCTGGCTGCGTCGCCCACCTGGCTTCACTGGGTCTTTTCCTCCTGGCACCTAGTGGAGCCTCCGGCGGCCAGTCTACGGTCTCCGCCAGGCACCGCGTGAGTGGCACGACACACTGAGGACTACACTTGCGGCTCTTGGGTTTGCTCCCTCTACTACCGACCCCTTCGCTGTTTGTGCGCACCGACACTTCTTTGCCGCCGTTCTACATCCTTGTGTACGTCGACGACTTGGTCTTTGCCACAGCTGACACTGCTGGACTCGCCCACGTGAAGTCCGAGCTGCAGAAGAGACACACGTGCACAGACCTGGGTGAACTGCGCAGCTACCTTGGCTTGCAGATCACCCGGGACAGAGCACACCGCACCATTACCCTGACTCAGTCACACATGGTGCAGCAGGTCCTTCAGCGCTTCGGCTTCACGTACTCCTCGCCTCAGGCCACTCCTCTGCCTACTCGCCACTCGCTCTCAGCTCTGCCTTCGGATGAGTCCGTAGAGTCGAGTGGCCCGTACCCAGAGCTTGTTGGCTGCCTCATGTACCTGATGACCTGCACTCGACCTGACCTTGCATACCCTCTGAGCATTCTCGCACGCTATGTTGCTCCTGGGAGACACAGACCGGAGCACATGGCTGCAGCGAAGAGGGTGTTGCGCTACTTGTGCAGTACGTCGGGCATGGGGCTTGTGCTTGGAGGGCAGAGTCCAGTGGTCCTCACTGGGCACGCAGACGCTTCTTGGGCTGACGACCAGGCTACGCAGCGGTCGTCACAGGGTTACACCTTCAGCCTTGGTTCCGGCTCTGTTTCTTGGCGGGCTACCCGCTCGTCCTCTGTTCTCGGCTCCAGTTGTGAGGCTGAGATCTACGCAGGAGCCATGGCTGCACAGGAGCTTCGCTGGCTCACCTACCTGCTGACTGACCTCGGAGAGCCGCCTCGTTCTCCTCCAGTGCTGTACGTAGACAACAAGGCCATGCTGGCCTTGTGTCGGGAGCACAGACTGGAGCACAGAACGAAGCACATTGCTCTTCGCTACTTCTTTGCTCGTGAGCTACAGCAGCGTGGTCAGCTGCGTCTTGCGTACGTGGCCTCTCAGGCCAACACTGCTGATATCTTCACTAAGGCACTTGCGCCTTGTGATCATCAGCGCTTCTGTACTCAGCTTGGTCTTGTGTCTGCCTTGCCTCACTTGCTCACCCCTTGACCTTGTTTGTACTGTTACATATATATATACTCCTGCTCTTGCTTGTCTCGCCTTATATGTAATCCTGCATGTGAATTGGCCTTCTGGCCTTGACCTTGTGCTCGGAATGTGTGGTGACTTTGTGATCCACCCTGAGCTTGCCTTGCTTTGCTTGACTGGTCTTGTGACACCTTGTTATCCCCCACTTTGCCTATGGGGGTGTGTCAGATTGATATGACATAGCTGCTGTAGGCTATAGTGGGGTAGCACATTTGGGGTACAGTTTTCTAGGGTTTGCACTTGTACCCAACTTTCCCTTAGTCAATCTCATTCCTCGTTTCTTCTCAAAGGTTATATAAGGATTTATATGAGTTAAATGTGACATATTGATATTTAGTTTTTTCCAATAATATTGGGAAACGAAAAAAACTGAACTCAATAATATACTATTTGAAAGTTATGGTCCACACTGTATTGTTTTCTAGTATGCAAGAGTTCAGTTGTCTCATTACGGTTGGTCCTAAAGTATACTATAATTGTCTCTGCAATTTTGTATTTTTTAATCATTCTAGCTCTGAGTATCTACGGGTCACGACAGTACGGCCACTGTGTATCATTAATGCAACTGTGCAAAATGACAACTCGTACTAAGGGGTTGCAGTTATTGCATCTGGATAGCGTCAGATTGTTCTCACCCAAAGCAAGAAATCAAAAGGATCCAAAACTGTTAAATAGCAAATCATCTGATTGACCAGACCGTGATTGCGGGTGTAGAGCAAGTTGCGCTCCATGGAATTGAGAAATATGAAAAAAGGGGCAGTGCTGTGCGAGGTTGGTCGACAGGTTTGAGCAAAATTTGAGGAGGGAATGACGAACCGCGGTGCTTTCTTGTCTCCAATTCCAATGGGCAGTGGCTTTCCCACTGCCCATGCCGCGCGATCGCGCCCGATTCCCGCAGTCAGTTTTCCCCATCAATACTCATCTTGTGGTTTTTTTGCGAGTTTTAAGTTGGGTGACGGTGTCTGCCCGTGGCGACTATTCCAACTGAATTTCGCGCCCAATCATAACGCCGCCCAGGAAGTTTTTGGAACAGTCGGGCCCAATGATTACAAAGAGATTCATTCCTTCGATCACGGAATCACTGTACATGTTAAACGGGCGCTCAATTCTCCCGCCACTCACGTTCGATGCGTGGCCCGTGAACAACACGTGAAACATTTCAAACATTTCAAACCGCAGTACTTCGCGCGCATAAAGAATTCACCGACAGATTTTACACTCCCGCCAATGTCGTTGCCCCATGGAGGTCTCACTAACGGCCCGTGAAGCACAGCTGGAGGTCCAAATCTCTGCCAGGATCGAGCGCGCACAGTTTCCCACCGAGGAAATTGTAGGCGCCCCACCTTTACTCCCCGAATCAACTGCTGTTCAGTCTGGTACTCATCAACCTACAGTTGTGGCCTCGTCAAGGCCAGCTTACTCGGTGGGCTTTTCTAAGTTGTTTACGTATGCTAGTACCTAGCTCTGGCATTAGATGTGACGATATACTTTCAACACCCAGCAGCAACCATGTCGGAACCACCTGAACGCGCCGAGCGTATAGCGAATAGTATTTTAGAGGCAATGCGAAACGTTCCCCCCATTCCGCCAGCACAACCAAAAGCTCCTAGAGATAATGCCCCATTGAGATAAGGTGGAATTTACTCCTCGAGGAATGCGGCACTAAAGGCGGTGCAGGCCTTCGCGTTGCACCACCGTTTTGGATTCGCGACTGTCGAGGTGGCAGACGCCCACGTGATACTCCAATGCAAAACCGCCATGCATGGAGAATCGCCCATATGCCCTTGGGAATGCAGTTACGGTAAGATTGTTCATGGCGGATTCTGGATGGTGACGTCACTTTCCCCACCTGAAACTCACATCTGCAGCAAATTCAAGCGAGAGCAAGGAGCAAACGCCATCGCCAACAGCGTCAAGGTCATGAAGCGGCAATGGGGCAACCTTGTTCGTGGCGCACCGTTTATTTCAGCGAAGGTCTTGCAGCAGCTTCTCTCGTCCCACAGCAAGTTTAGGATCAGTTACAAGCAGGCGTGGCGGCTGCATGAGGCAATCCAGAAGGAAATGTACGGGGACTGGCAGGAGTCATTCAGGTTGCTCCCGGCGTTGGCTGCAAGGTTCCAGGAGAACGATCCGGCTGGAAAGTTCAAGATTCAGACGGTCAACGGATGCTTCCACCGGATGTACATTGCGCTTGGTTTTTGCCCCCCCGTTGTTGCACTAGACGGGACCTTCCTAATTAGTGCTCAACGCGCAACCCTGCTCATTGCCGTGGTCCTCGACGGTAATCAGAAGATTCTGATCCTGGCGTGGGCTCTGGTCGAAGGAGAGAACAAAGATTCGTGGACCTGGTTCCTGCAACACGTTTTGGAGAGCTTCCCGGAGTGGCCGCACCGTCAAGATGCATCCATCATCAGCGATCGCGACAAGGGCCTGATTCCTGCTGCACGAGATGTACTCCCGGTTGGCATACCTCACTACTTTTGTGCTTGGCATCTCCATCAGAATGTTGTGAAATTTGGAGAGGCTGCTGCTCTTTTCTATTGGCGTCTTGTGAATTGCAGAGACGTCGACAAATGGGACGCATTGGTTGCAGCATGCCGCCGTGACTTCAAGGAAATGGCGAACTATCTCCTCGGCGTCGAGAAGCCGATCTCGGGTCCACCACCGGCAGATGCTGCTGAGCAGCAACGTCCCGCTCCCACTACAGCAGCTGAAGCACGTCAACAATCAGTAGAGAACTGTCGCCAGGGTCGTGAAGCAGCGCGTGCCGCCATGGGTCGCGCCACCACATCACGTGCGCATGGGCGTGGGGCGGGTGACACGAGCGAGCCGGGAGCCACAGCGACCGAACCAGGGCCTGCACCTACTGCAAGCACTTCTGCCCCGACGGCTCCGCCGGCTGAGCCCCCTACCACAACCGAGCCGCCCAGTCATCCCTCATGCTCGACTCATGCAGCTTCACGTCCATTCGACTATGCTTGCATCCTGCGACGCGTTAGGACAGGTTACATCCCCAGCAACATCCGGACGGATGCGCCACGTGCAACAGGATCAAGCGGAAACTCGGGCCAGGGTGGAGATGAGCAGGCTGGGGGAAATACCTGCCAGGCATTGGTCGTTGTCACTCTGGATCACCCGTGGCCAGATGTCGGTAGTGGCAACCCCCGTGTTAGGGTTGAAGCCGACGCTGAGGAGGACGATGAGGAGGAGGCGGATGCAGAGGAGGCAGAGGCAGATGATGCGGATGACCCAGCCCCAGCAGAGGGGAACCAGGCGGGGGCAGACGAGGACGCCGACGATAACACGCCTGAGGCCGGTGTCGCGGAAGGGGACCATACTACACGCGTGAGGACAGGGTTTGGGCAGAACAAGCGTGGTACGAGGAAGAAGCTGGGCATCAACCTCGTCCACTGGACTCGCATTAAGGCCCCAACCCGTCGCTTTGGGATCTTCACGAGCAACGCAGCAGAGCAGGTCAACAGCTCAATCGTGCCCATTCGTCGCTTGCCGGTCACCCCTCTGCTAGGGGGTCTCATGGACTGGTATCGGGATAGGTATTGTGAACGCAAAATGGCTGCGCGGGAGAGAACTGCTCTACTGACGGAAGCGGCAGAGGAGCGGATGGTGTTGAAGGAGACCCGGGCGGAGGGGTACGAGCTATTGGGCGGGGATCTTGAGGAAGGAACCATCCAGACCAGGGACACCAACGATCCCAAGGAATGGAGGTCCTTCAACGTCAACATCAACATCGAAGTGAGGACATGCGACTGCTCAAACTGGGACCAGTACCAGTTCCCGTGCTCCCATGCCGTGGCCTTTTCTCTAAGGCGAGAGCTAGACCCTTGCACCCTCGTCTCCGACTTCTACACCACGAAGAACTGGGCGGAGACGTATTCTTCAATGGTGAAGGGTTCCTGTGTGGACCGGATCGTCCTTGGGAGGAAGCTGGCCGCACCAGGCGAGTGCGATGCTCCACCCTTTCGACGCACGGCTGCCGGCCGCCCGCCAAGCTACGCACGCGTCGAGAAGGCTGTGCATCCGTACACGTGCAGCGTTTGTCATCTGCACGGTCACACTAAGAACCGCTGCATGGGCAAGTATGGTGGCAGCACATACCCGGAGAAGAGGAGGTACCGTAAGCGCCCCAAGGCCCGAAAGTCCTATCGCGAGTCGGCACCTTTTGCGGGCACTATTTGAGATATGTGGGGATTTACGGTATCTACATGAGCGAAAGTATTCATTATAGTGGGCGGCCTTACGGGTTAGAGTAGTTTCTTTAGGGTTTAGGCTACAATGGGATAGAGTAGTCAGTATAGTGTAGTCCTTTGTATCACCCTTTGTATGATCTTGATTAATGAGAAGAATAAAACCACTTGTGCGCATGTAGAGCATCAGGCGCAAGTCAACCTATAGTGATATTCCCGTGAAGGTTGGCCTGTACCACAATTGGAAACGAATTGATCACAATTAGCATACAAAAATAATGTGGGTTTCGTTGGCCGTCACTATATCGTCAGGACCACCAGAGAAGACATTCACGGCAAGGTCAACATAGCCCTGCTTGCTTTGGAAAAACATTGCCACTTAGTCATTTACCGTGGGCAAGTGACACGCTAGTGTACGGTCTGTGGAGTGTAGTAAATGAGTGCTGCGCGAATGGCTGGTTCCGAGTGCCAGTAGCAGTAGCGACATTAACCACCAGCGTGCATGTGGACCATCACGCGCCAGTGATCCAATAGTGAAAACCCCGTGAAGCTTTGCCTGTACCAAAACTGTTCAGAGCATTCAATAAAAGACAAAAAGGGTTTCAATAGCCGTCATTATATATCCTCCGAATCTAGTGAGCCAGTAGTACACCAGTGCAATGTCCGTAACGTGTACACAAGATGCCCAACCTCTGCGCGCGAATTTGCCCTGCCCGCGATGGAAACTCTGCACCCGTGTATTAGGGTGCCAGCCAGTTGCACCCCATTTACAAGCCCCTCGAGCAATACGAACCACAAAAACCGAAGTTTGATAGAAAAGACCAACGTCAAACGATCAACAGAGATTTACAAAATCTTTTAAAAGCCCTTTTTGCTAGGTGCGAATTGACGGAAACTTAGCGAAATGCAAGCAAAAGTATTCAGCCCTCTTCACAAGGCAACCTTGGGCTAGTTAAACGGGCATCTTGTGTACGAACTGAAGGATGCGCGTTTGTCTGGTCATTGAATGGACACCACGTCCAATCATGCACAGGCAGCAATCAATCCGCCGTTAGCTGTGAGCGACAACTTCGCCCAGCACTGTGCAGAACTTCACAAGGCCCTCGCGTCTGACTAGTCAACAATTAGTCGGATGATTGAAAGAGTTTGATAGTGTTTCCACAAGTTACGCAGCCAGGTGAGTTGGCGCAGTTTTCGGATGCTGCCGTAACAGTACACTGCTCGTGAAAAACTAGTGGAATGCCCGCGAACAGGGCCCGAGAACATCGCGTAGGGCCGGTTTGGAGAGCCCGTATGAACCCGTCAAGAAGCCGTGAACCCCCAGTCAAAGCATCGGACCAGCACAGCCGGGGGTCAACCACCCCTGTAGATTCGGACGGTGAAGATTAGCTCTTTGAGGATGTGTCGGAAGGATTGCCCTTTGGTGGGTGGGGCTTAGGGTTAAAGTTGAGAATGCTAAAATGCGGATTTTACACTGTAGTTGATTTGCTTGTGGTCAGTACTTGCGATCGAGTACGAGGGTGTGCAATGTTTAGCGGTTTCTATGTTTCGCCGCGTTCTACAGCTACGCTGCACTCCAATAGCCTCATGACCTGCCCTAGCATTTTTTTTTGGGCCGCTATTGGGACAATGAAGTGAATCGCTAGTAACTGGCCAGTGAAGCACGAACACGTGTTTAGCGACTAATCGGCAGTAATATATTACGGAAAAAAACTATGGGTTATACGACCCTTGTCCCATAGCCCGTTAAAGCTCCTAACACGTTACTGTGTAATGTTTTATAACAGGTGTTAGCAATAACACACCCAGAGATCCCAAACAGCCATATGCTGAGCGCAAGCACACCAAAGACCGATGAGGACCCGTTTTCTACTTTTGGGTCTGTCTCCTTCGCTTTGACTTACGCTGACACCGCGACTGAGATGAGGGATCCGGATCTGTCGACGCCGTATCAGCCGCCCTCCGTCCCTCCATCTTCCTTAGGCATTCAGGCCAAGCCTCCCTCCAGTTCTCCCACCTGTGCCAGAACTTGTTCCGGATCATAGCCAGGCAGGTGTCCTTAGGACAGTCCTTCAACCTGTCCTTTTCTTCGTCAGACAGGCCTATCACTCTCCCACGGGGTCCATTGTGCGGCCCAAATAGCACATGTGATCCCGCAGCAAGTGATCTCGCGGCTTCTTCCTCATTTCCAAAGTGGCTGCCAATGACGATGTGGCCGTCTTTCCGACGTTCGCAAACTAGTCTAGCAACCCATCGGCCATTCCAGGGCCGTTGAGTAATACCCACGAATCTCCCCTTAATCTCCTTGGCCTTCTGCCGTGAAGACTGCTTCGCGGACTGTCGACGGGGCGGAGAGCCACCACCATCCCCTTCACCACGGTCACCCACAACAATGAGCTCATCATGCAAGAGTGCAGAATCCCCCGGCGACTGCAGCGCGGACACCGCTGTGGCCATGTTGTCGCATATGTCATGAGTCTTCGTAATCAGAAGCTTCAAAGCTTTCATGCCACCTTCAACGGATGCAAGGCGGGTCCCTTGACTGCGTAATTCAGCGACCGCCTTTCTCATCGCCGACATGTTGTCCAGGACTGGGTGCACTGCGTGGATCACATCGTTGACCAAAGCCGGACGGTCATCTGGCGGAAACGTCACCGTTCTGTTGTGCAACTTGTCCGCTAGCGTACGCTCCCCAGCATCACACATCAAGGATCTAATGGCGCGCCGATACGTCACAATGCTGTACGAGGGAGAAGGAATGCCCCGCTCTAGGTTCCTAAAAGACCGTGCGACAAGTTCCCACAAGAACAGGCACACGAATACGCCTGGGTCAACAGTGCAGTCTTGTTGAGGCGCTCAACCCGACCTACACCTCTTGGAAATGTGCAAATAGTGTGCCTTACGCAGGTACACTTACGAGCAATGCCCGGCTGCGGATGCGACGGAGACGATTGGTCACATTGGCAGCCTTGAGGACGGGCCTCTCTTGTGCCAGCGCCGCACCCAATAGCCTGCAGACTTGTGCTAGATCAAATGTTGACACATCGTCTTAACAGGCTAAGCATGCATAACGCATCATTGGAGGTGCGCGAAGGACTCACCAGTTGATGTGTCGGAAGACGTCGCATGCCATGGCGACGTGGACCCTAGTTGAATCATAGAGCACAGCCTGTGGACCCTCAACCTCTTGTGCGCTAAGCTCTTCATCAGACTTTAAAAGCAACCCAGGGTCCTTCACGACGACCAGGCTTGTGTGCTTCGGGTTAGGGTACCTGCCACACAGGGTCAATATGAGATACATGTGCATGGGTACTTTCCCTAATGATCCAGACATGCTACACAAGCCGTACTCACTTGGATGTTACCACTATGCATACGTAGTCGTATTTGAACAAGGACTCGCTCCCGATGCCGCACATTAAATTCTCGCTACACGCCGACTGGTACACCGGGGTTGCCAGTGCAACCCAAGTGCTCCCCGTAGGTAGCAGTGGATGCATGATGCTCAGAACGCTGCGAGAAGAAGGGGAAATACATTAGCACCAGAACTACTTCGCCCGTCCACTGCGTACAGAGTCGCATTGACTACTCACACGCTGTGGAAATCAATGGTTGTCGCTGGAATCTCACAGCCGTCTCTAATGCCAAGCGCATCAACCATCATCACATTGGCGCTCTGCCCAATCTGATTCGTGATCAATGGGGTCGGAAAGTGCTCGCTTGTAAACGCGGCAGGTAATACTGTGCTACCCAAAGATGACCCAGGCACGGATTTCACGAAGATGGACACTATGTCGTCGGGTTCGGGCGGCCTCTTCTCCACCACAGCTGTGACGGGGACTTCAAACTTTACCGCACGCTGTTCCGATTTCTTGGTCGCGCTTGGATCACGTTTCGCTCCACTCATTCGCCCGCTTTTCCTGGACGCCATATGAGGGTCGATGAAAGCGAGTCAGGGTAGAGGAGTTGTCCTTACCGAGAGTTACAAGTTAAAGGGTTGGCTAGCGGTGCATGAGTAAAAGCCTACAAGCCTGCTAGTAGAGTTATAAAGTGCGCCGGTGAAATAATGGTGGTCTTTAACAGGGCATGTGACGGGATGTTGACCAGATGCTAGTGATGTGTCAATGAAATACCTGAAAGGTACCTTCGCGCTTGGCCTTGTAATTCTACTAGTGGGGGTGTTGACCTGAGAGGTGGAAGAGTCGCGTGTCTCTGGTGAGACAAATGACGGGACGTTCACCACCTGCTTGTGATGTGACAGCGACAACCATAGTACAGTATCGTTACGATCCAACCTGTCACGACGGCCACCTGGCAACCTCTAATAAGCTCGGGGTCACGCCGATAGCCAATAAGAAGCGTTATGTAGTTGTCATCCCCCTCACGCGGGATTGACAAGGAACATTAAACTTGAACCAGTAGCTATACGCGATAATAGTGGTTATATGCGTTCGGTATAAAATTTGTGTAGTGTGCCACACGCAAAAGCCCTAAACACGCGGTGTAAAATTTATGCGTACTCATCACGGAATAAATTAGGCTTCGCACCAGCGCACCTAATCTACATTTGGATGTTCCGACACAACATGAGTGTTGACACGAGTACCAATGATTGAAACATTGCGGTGCACTCCTAATCGCTGCTAAGTCGTTTCGAATTCCACTGCCTATACATACTAGTGATATCTGCTTGTTTGGCAGCCTATACAATCCAGCGTGAAGATCTAGGGTACAATAGGAATGCCTCAGAAGTGTGTTGACCATCTAGTCCTGGATATAGTCTAGTCGGATAAAGCAGCACGAGCTCGGTTGCTAATGACAGGTGTTTGTCTGGACCTGCATCAACGCTTAATTATGCTTTCCAACTGTTGGGCTAAGAAAAGCCCTTAGGATCTTTACAGGACTAAACTCTGGATAGGGATGATGTAATAGCGGACGCTTTTAGTGAAGTGTTTGAACCATCTTGCGCTAGTATGTGAGGGCAAAGTAGATTGATTAAAACAAAGGGATACAAGCTTTTATAAGAGTACAAGGGAATATAAACAGTTATAACCAATAACTGTTTTGCTGTTGCTGTTGCGGTTCGATAAAGTGACGACTCGGGCAACTGCTCAATAACGAGTCAGTTGTTTGTCCTTGCTGTCGCGCTGCATTTTTCAAGTCAAAGGTCGCTGACCTTTGACTTTCGCGTAACCTGCAGCAGTTGCTCAACCTCTGAGGGTTGACTCGCCGATGCTTCGATATGTTCTGCTTCGCTTATGACTTAGTGTTTCGATACGATAGAGGCGCTTAAGTCAATTGTTTAGGAATGCCTCATTAGTGTGTTGACCATCTAGTCCCGGATATGGTCTAGTCGGATAACATGTTGGACGATACATTTGGAGTTTACGATCTCGATTGCTGAAGTTACCCCCCTCTTGTTTATCACAGATGTCCATGGTTATTCTTATCTGATAGGATAGGTGGGTTTATGATCTTTTTTAATAGTACAGGCCATCATATTGGAACATGTATATCGTTCGGTGGTCACTCGCTAATACCGCGCGATGCCGAAAGCGAATACGCAATGGCTGTCAACTATCCGATGGTGACAAACTTGTAACGACTCAGTGATGCCTTCTCAAGTGTATCGCGGGTGGTTACTTTACTTCAGCCGTAAGCATTTTACTCTCGTCGTGTCAAGGTTTGCTTAGTGCGAGAGTTTCCAGTTCCTGTTTTGGTACTTGGTCTTTACTAGGGTTCCACTCGTGTCATTCGTATACGTGGCGGGCACCTAATCGATCGTGGGTAGGTATAGTGAGTGTGTGGCGGAACATTTACGATGCACCCACTTCTTGAAGGCCTGTGACGCATGGGTTTTACACCTACGGTGTACCAGGTGGTCTTGATGTTGAAACGGCACACAGACATGTCAACGACTGCATTGGCGATGTCGTTTGTCTCCAGTGTTTAAGGCATGCTTGCAGCATTCTCGCTGGATTGTGGTTTGTTCTTGGTGAGTATCTCGTGAGCCCCTCACCTTCAACCTTTCACTCCAGACGATCCTAGAAGTTGGGATACGCGGATCACGCTTCAAAGCCGTGGGGATATTCACCCTAGTGTTGTAATGGTTCAGGTTTTTTTTGGGATTGCCCCTATGTTTCTAACTTTGTGGCAGATGGTTGGTGGATACGATACGACTCAAAGTGTAAGTTCCTCAGACGCCGTTGTTTACGAGTAGGACTCCACTTTGTTTTTTTTGTTATTTTTTTTATAGCACTGAACGTAACATCACTGGTTTTCCGAAAGGCCTTTACCACTGAGAGTTGATTTTAGCTATTCTTTGCGCTCAATATTCGGACGTGGCCTTTACTAGGGTTGTACTCGTGTTGTACTGATACGTGGCGTGCGACGGTGCGATCTGACGTCGAAACGGTGATTGTGTGGTGCAAACATTTACGAAGCACCCACGTCTTGATGGCCGATGCTACGTGGGCTGTGCACGTACAGTCTACCATGGAGACGAGGTGCAGTTGTCATCAACTGAACTCTCACTGCTGTTTGGCGGCGGTGTTTACGGACTGCATACTGCACATCTGCGGTTTCGTCGTGGTGTGTTTATGGTGAGCTTCGCGTGGGGCCCGTACCGAAAACTGTTCGCGCCCCATGATCCCTGCACCAGGGTTACACGAAACCCACACCGCTGCTTTGTGGACGTGATTTAAGGTGTTACGTAATATTTACGACCCTTTTACGATGCGAACACCTGTCGAAAAGACGCATGGGTCACGGATGTTTCACTGGTGGTTTGCGGAGTGTTTAATGTTGACGTTAAAAGAGGAGATACTAGTGGAACTATGTGTATGTTTCCAACAGAAGCATGTGTATCAGTGAGCGGGCATTATGCCACACTGAGAAAGTGGATGACAACCCTACACACACTAGGAGTGAAACATACACAGTTTGCACAGCGGGGTTTTGAAGCAGAAAGCACTGTGAGGGAGGCAAATGGTCCCATCCACACACCCACATCCAGTCATGAAGCCATGCTCTATGCATCCTTAAATCCCGATCCCTCCCGTTCACTTGCAGGCTCCACCCCGGAACTCTCTTCACCTCCCGTTCTTGCTGTCTTGTCGGGCCGAGCATCAGTCTCACCCAAGGTCAGCTGGAGTGCCGCTCTCTTACGATCTGCCTTGCGCATTTTCTCGTCATACTTTGCCTTTGCTGCTGGCCAATATTTCCTCCACTCCTCCCACATCTGCCAGAACTTCATTCGGACCATAATATCACACTGGATGGCGTACACCCTCGAAGCTTTGCCTTGTCCTCGGCAGTCAATGGTATGAGTTCGCCCCGCGTTGGGTTGTCAATGAACATCACATGCGAAGCGGCGGCTATTGACCTGGCTGCATCGACCTCAGATCCAAAGTGGCTGTTGATGACAATCAGCGACTGCGATGAGCGGTCCAGGACGATCCTTGCGATCCACTCGTCCTTGCCCTGCTTTTTTGTGACGCCCGTGAACCCCCTGGAGGCGGCCTCCTCGCCGTGCTCGCCTCCTTGGGTCGAGGGCGGCATAGAAGTGGAGGCTGCTGGGGAGGGCAGTACCGATTGCGACCCCTGCACGAAACCGGAGAGCATGCCCGATAGAGCCAGACCACGAGAGGCGGATGTGTGTCCACGTAGGCCACTGACATTGTCGAGCGCCTCATCAGCTACGAGGAAAGCTCCAGAATCATGAACGAGGGGGCGATGCGACGACAACGGCAGTTGCACGTTAGCGTGGTGCTGTCCAGAACCGAGGTAAAGCACGTTCGGAGGTCGCAGAGCATGGCCAATTGGCCCAGATGGCACGGCGGATGTAGCGGGGACCGGCTGATCACCACCTGCATGTGAAGCATAGCCTACCGCACATGGTGGTTGTGCTCCCTGGATATGCATCCCGGGTGGAAAGGCACACGGAGCAAAAAACTGCTCGCCTGAGGACCATGCAGAGGAACCCGTTTGAACAACAGCTGCCCTTGCAGTCTCATCAGCCGCTTCCGACCGTACAGCATCCTGCACCAGCACACCTGGATGAAATATGGTGTGTTTCGTGTGTGGTCCCCCTATATCCCAGGCATCATTGCTTGGCTGAACCACAGCTGCGTTCATAGGCCGCCCCGCGGCAGCTTGAACCCGTGTCTCTAGTCCAGTGGCCCATACACTCGACGCGGGCGGTGCACCAAAACCCTGATGCGGCACGGTTGCACCACCAGGGACTGGTGGTGACAGGTGATGCACATCTGTTGTTTTCTTGGCAGCACCCGAGCCAGTGTCGTGTGTAGCGCTCGAAGAGGGCCCTTGCTGACCCGCATATGCCATTGCATCCCTCGCGGTCGAGCCTGGCTGCGCCTGCGTTGTCGTCGGAGCAACGGCTGCTGCACCTGGCTGACCCGCGGCTGCTGTTGGAACTCCGACGGCTGCACCCGTACAACCCGTGGAGGCGGTATGAATCCCGGCTGATGCCCTTGTTTGAACAGTCGGTACGGTAGGATCACAGGCGGCTGCACCTGTCTGACCTGTCGTGGCGGTAGGAATCCCGGCTGCTGCACATGCCTGACCAGTTGCAGCTAGAAGAATAGCACCTGGCTGACTTCCAGCCGATGCTGGCATAACCACTGCTGCACCTGGCTGTCCAACCCCAGCTGCCCGAGCACCAGAGGAGGCACCTGGCTGACCTGGAGCAGATGGAAGAGCACCAGCTGGTGCACCTGGCTGCGCCGCTACAGGTGGAAGGGAACTCTCAGCGACGCATGGCTGCCCCGATGCGACTGTAGTAATACATGCAGCATCAACCGGCTGACCAGGCGAGGAGGTAGAAGTGACGGCCGCGGGGCCAGAGTGACCCGCCGCAGACTCTGGTGCGCCGGTTGTGGCTCCCTGGCCTTGGACAAAACCTGGCATCGTCGCGGAAATTGGTGGACGCGCGTATGACGGACCGGCAGAGGAGGCCTGGGGAGCAACGCTCTTGTCAACAAGAGCTTCAAATGATGATCCGGCCGTACGATGCAGCGGTGGGGCTGCATCGGTAGAGATGGCGGGTTCGTTGGTGTTCAAAACCTCCAGGCCAGCAGTCGGCAGCTTGAACCCTATTTTGGCAGCCATCCCCTGCAAGGCCGTAAAGAGCGAAGACAGGGTCACAGTCACTTTGACGAGCCCCTGTTCTCCCTTGTAAACCGAGTCTTTGAGGGACTCTACGTCTTCATGCAGGTTCTTGAGCTGCGCAGCAAGGACACACTACTCCGCCGCCACATCCTTAACCGTTGGCTCCTTTATCTCCTCAACTCCACAATCGCTATCACTGTCATCCCCCCCGTGCTGCTCACTTTGTGGGGGAATGTCGGCCCCTTCAGTGTCAGAGATTCCAGCAGAGTACCTTCTCTGGCTTCGCACATCAGAGCACGGATTTCGCGCCTGCATTGTGCGGCACTATAACGGGGATGGGGGATCTCTTCTTCCATGAATTGGAAACCTCGGCCTACAAGCTCCTTGGTGAACATACACACGTAGACCCCGCAGTCCACACCGTTCTGTTGCTAAGGTACCTCGAAGTACTGCAGTAAAAAACATGGAAACAAAAGAAACGCAAGTTTAGATTCGCGTAAAAAAACGGGTCCGGCATGTTAGTTGTATCACGACAGCAAACACAAGTGTGGCATGCTCACCTCAAGAGCACGGCTGCTCACGCGTGTAAGCCTCTCTGTCACTACCACCCATGGCAGATCAGGGTTGGCCTTTTTCAGGGCCCGCCCAAGCAGCCTGCGGATGGATCACGAGGGAAAGGGCATTAGTAAACCGAGGTAAACCAGTGTGCACAAAAAACTGTATCTATCCCTAGCAAATTGACGATATATCATAAACTCACTCGTTGATGTTGGTGAAAACTGCCTCGCACATGTCGAAATGCAAGCGTGTGGAGTTGTACAGTACTGCTGATGCCGGTACTGGTGGCGTCAAGGCATCGTATTCCTCCTTACTGAAAACAGGGGTCCTTCACAACGACAAGGCTGAAATGATGAATTGGAACTCTGCAAACAACCATAAAGCACGGGAAGTCAGGTTATGTATGCCACGGAATGGTACGTCAAGTTGTCGCAAACGATTTCCCTGCCTTCCGCAAATTCAGAGTCTCTTACTTGGTGAAAACCACGATGCACAGGTAGTCGCGCTCGAAGAGAGTCTTGCAGTCGACACCGCATGCTAGCTCCTGTCCCCCGGTGACGGTTTGGTACGCGAGCGTGTCTAGAGCCAACCACGTTTTTCCGTCAGGTAGGTGCTGGTGAAGAAGGCTCAACACACTGGAACAATACAAAGAATACAGATCGGTTACACGATGTATATGAAAATTAGAACAGCGCACACGCAGAACGTGTCTCACACGTGGTAAAAGTCGATGGTTGACGTCGTCAGCTCATAGCCATCCTGTATGTGGAGGGCATCCATGATAGTAACCCTCGCTCGCTGGCCGTCTTGGTTTTTTAACTCATGGGATGGGAAATGGTCACTCTTAACAGACCTAGGTAGCTTATCGGTCGCGCAGTCTGGAACTCTGACTCCCTTCGCGAACCTCGATATTATGTCGTCAGGATCGGGTAGTTTATGTACGCCTTCTAATTTGACCGGGACCTTGAATTCAGGGCTCGGAGCCGGCATACTACCGCTCGCATCCTACCTGTTTCGGTTTGTTCGTTTCCCCCGCGCGACGGGGAGCTGACTACTAACAGCTTGTTGGCCCTTGTTGCGTGCGGACTGTCTAGTCTGCGTCATCGTGCGCTGACCAACTAACGACTGCGTGGATGTCAGCAGGGGCGGATGGTTTCGAGAGATGTGGAGAGGAGTATGCTATGCTAATAGACTTGGATGAATCAAAAGTAAGAGCAACAATGGTGGCCACTCAATGACGCCAAAACTCTTGGCTCACGAGATGGTGGAAATGGTGACTGGGTGCTTACGAGAGGTTGACGGGGGGGAAGCCGAGGCGAAGTAATGACGATGGAAGGACAGACTGTTGCTCGCGTGGATGCAACGGTGCTTAACCCGCCAAATGAAGTCCAAGGTGGCACGCTGTTATTGACTGTAACCCTGACAATGAGGGTTCTCGAATGTCACGCGAGGCAGATTCGTGCACGCGTGCACGACAAGATATTTCCCTGCCAATTTCATCATTGCCACCGCTGCATGGACAGCCGTGGTCGACAGCGCATAGATAATGACAAAGATGTAATGATGTGTGCAACACTAACAAACAAATTTGTGCCTGCCCACGAAATCACAGAAAGTGTACTAAAGGTAGAGTTGTCGCGGAAAATCGACCGCGGGAATCGGGCGCGGTCGCGCGGCATGGGCAGTGGGAAAGCCACTGCCCATTGGAATTGGAGACGAGAAAGCACCGCGGTTCGTCATTCCCTCAAATTTGAGAGTCGTCGCGTCGCGCAATTATTTCTTCAAGTTGGGAATGGGTTCACTACTCACCAGTTTACTAGCTAGCTTCTGCTCCCTAAGTCCTAGTTTTCTGCCTAGTAACATACCGAAGAATATCTGAGAACCTACCGTAAGCATTTTTTGTATAAGCTCGTAGTTATTGATTCTATGCGGGTGCATATTAGGTTCGTGGGCTATTAGCTCAGTGCACATCGAACGACACGCAATCGTAGCGGTCCCCGTCACTGTCGGCCCATTTCACTTTCCGCTCGCCCCGGAACACTTCCCGTCACCATCGCCCTCCATTTCTTCTATCGCCCCAAGCGTCACCCTCCTCGTCGCCCTCGCGATTCCCCCCAATCACCCTTCAAATTGCCCTTCAGCTCGTTCTCCCCACCACCGTCCATCTTCTCATCATTGCGTCACCCACCCTGCCTCCCTTCCCATCACTGCCTCCCATTCTCTCTGCCCTCCCGTCGCCCTCTCGTCGCCCTCGCGTCGCCTTTCTCGACGTCCTGCCGTCGCTGTCCCTTCGCCCTCTCGCCTGTCGTTTGTCCCGTCTCTCCCGCGATTGCGCTCGCGATTGCCTTCTCGTCCCCTTCCCGTCCCGTCGCTCTCTACTTCTCCTCTCCCTTCCCATCGTTTTTCCCTTCCCCTCCCCACAATTTCACATTCCCATCCTTTCCTGTCACTCTTCTCTCGTCACACTCACAATCACGTCCTCCCACCCCGTCGCTCCCGCACTCACGTTCTCCCTTCTCGTCGCCTTCGCTTCCCATCGGGACCCTCCCTCTCATCTTTTCTGCCTCGCTGTCTCCACTCTCATCACCCTCGCACTCTGTCCTCTCGTCACCGTCTCGTTCTCCCTCAGGTATCGCGTTATCGTGTCCCGTTTCGTAATCTGTTTTTGTTTTTTTAATCGTGCGTGCACACATCACAAAACAAGGCCTACCAATTTGGACCAATATTGGTCCAAATTTGGTCCTAGCTGACCAATATTGGTCCAAATTTGGTCCTCGCTGTTGGACCAAATTTCGACTAGTTGGAAGGTTGGAAATTGGCCAATATCGAGATTAAAATTGGCCAAATGCAAGGTCGAAATTTGGTAGAGGAATGGTCCGAGCTAGGTACTTTCTGATAACTAATTTTGTCCTAAATCAGAGCTCATTTTGTACCATTATGGTCAACATTTAGTCCAATAATGCAGTTGTTTGGTCAGCTTGTAGCCAACATTGCACCTGTGATGACTGTTACCAGAAATCAAAATTCGCTTTTTTTATTATTTGATTATAATACAGAACTGAATATACAAGGGGCACACCGTTCTAAGCTCTATTAGTAAAACGCAGCTGGTGGTACCACACCATTGTCACAGCTTCTGATGTTGCGGCTAAAAGCAAGAACTGCAGCATACCATAGCTACAGCTATTTCAGCCACCAAACACTTCACAGCCGAAAAAAAAAAAAAAAAAAAAACATAGTTAGACATTAAAAAGGAGCAAACAAGGGAGCCAAGGAACACATCGACTTAACGTAAAGAATCTGCCAGCATGAATCTAAGCCCTGCAAGAACTGTTGAAATGTATTTGTATACTTTCATATAAATGCCTACAGTAGCCTAGTGTAGTTATCTTAGTTTCCTGCTAGGTGGTGTACCATTTGCCTTTCTTCATTCTTGCCTATTTGTACTGCTCGCTCTATAGTGAACAATCCCTTTTTGGCTTGCATCCTTCCCTTCGTCACTCTCGCCTAGGTCGAACCCTAGGCCCCTAAACTTTACTCTCGACATGGTATCAGAGCTAGGTTGTCCTAAGACCTATTTTTTTTCCCATGGGCCCACCACGTATCCCCCCGCTCATGGCGCTCGTCACGCCCCCCATTGCGGCCGTAGTTACGACGGCGGCAACGGTCGCAACCGTCGATACGGTCTCGTCCGTGGCGCCCTCCCCGTCACGCCTGTTGCGCCCTGCTCGTCGCGCGCGTTGCCTGCCCCACCCCGTACTGTCACGAACACAGCAGCAGCCGCGCGCAGCTGCGTACGGGCGCGCATTGCTGCGCGCAGCCACGTACGACCGTGCGCCCCCGTGCACGGCCGTGTGCGCCAGCACCAGCCCCCGTCGCCAGCACCTACGTGAGCAGCAACTAACGCCGCCCCCCCCTTCTCTTCCGCAGCTTTCGCCGTGGGGGGAGGGAGATGTGGGGGTGGCAGGTGTGAGTTACCTGCAGCCCGTCCTACCCCCTCCCTTCAGCGGGGTCCGCCGTGGGGGGGGGGGAGAGGTTGCGGGGGGAGGGTGAAGGGAAACGGGGGGAGTGTGAGAGGGTGGCGAGAGAGACTCTGCAAAGCCAGCAGCCACCCCTCCTCTCTCTCTCACTGCCGCTTGTGCTGCTGTGGGGGGGAGGGTAAGAGAGGGTGGTGGGAAAACAGTCAAGCATCTGCGGCTGCCACCCGCTGCTACCGTGGCACCTCCTGCTGCCGCCCCTGC